GACCGAGGCCCCCAGGGCTGGATGGCCGCCACAGCCGGACTCACTGGACTCTGCATCCCGGGATGGCATCGCCAGCTTCAGCTGCGGGAGAGCAGGGCTGGGTGAAGATGCTGGGACCGCAGGCAGGGACCGCTGGCATGGTGCAGCCCCGCAGTTGCCAGACTTTGGCCTCGCGGAGCCCACCAGGGTGCAGGGTTTGGCCGCATGAGCCGCGGGGCAGCACGGGCAGCTCCAGCACAGGCCCCCACTCACCGCGGGCACCGGTGCCGGCAGGAGCTCCACGAAGTTGTTGGGGAAGAGCCCTCTCCGGTGCCGGCACTGCCCGTCCCACCAGCCTTCGACCTCCGTCCGCTGTGGGCAGGGCAGGTGTCAGCGCCGGGGACCAGCCTCGGGGTCGCCCCCATCCCCACGTCCCCTCACCTTGCTGAGGACCTGGACAACATCTCCCCGCCGCAGCGGCAGCTCGTCCGGCAGTGCCGGCGCGTAGTCAAACAGGGCCCGGCAGAGCTGCGGCTCCTGGTCTGCGTGGGAAGGGCAGGACGGGGCTCGCAGGGTCTGGCTCCTCCCCAGGTCCCCCCAGCACCCCAAGCGAGCCCCCCCAGGGCACGGCCCTGGCTCACAGCATGGGGATGGGGTGACTCACCCAGCTGTGGCGGCGGGACGGGTGCCGGGCGCTGCACTGCCAGCCGCGGCTCTGCCTGCGGGAGAGGAGACTCAGTGGGGCACGAGGGTCCTGACTCCAAGCTGGGGATCAGCTCAGGCAGCACCTGCTGGCCTGCAGAGCCCCATGGCCCCTGAGCCCCCACTGCCCCCGGCACGGAGCCCCCCACCCACCTTCTCCTCCGGCACTGGGAAGGGCTTGGGCATCTGCTTCAGTGCGGTGTCTCAGCCTTGCTGTCACAGCGGGCACCTGCAAGAGCGGGGAGAGGGTTCCCTGCCATGGTCGAGCCCTGAATGCCAGTGTGGAGCGCAGCCCCGGGGCTCGGCTCTGCCAGTCCGTGGCTCTAGGTGCCCATGGGGAGCTGCACCTGCAGCTGCCAGCCTCACCGCAGCATCGCTGCCCCAGAGCTTCACCACGGGACACACGCAATGGCCCTGCTCGTGGCACAACCAGCGCAGGGAGCCCTGCGCCGCCGGGGCCAGGCCAGCTCCCTCACGGGCCACCCTGTGCCTGCACCCAGCCCTGGCATCCCCCAGCTCGCCCCCTGCCACCACCACCCCAGCCCGGGGACAAGGGCCTGGGCTGCGGGAGGCTGCGGCCGCTGCATGGCAGCCACAGTGGAGGAAGTCATGAAACAGCCGCTTGGAAAGAAAAGGCTGGGGGAGAGGAAGGGACCGGGGGCTGGAGGCAAACCCGCAGCGATGCCCTCCTCCACCGGCACCGCCTGGCTGTGCCGGAGGCTGCCACCAGGCTTCGGTACAGCCACATTCCCACAAGCAGCCACACAGGAACCACCTGGGCTGGGCTGTCCGGGAGCAGGGTGAGCTTGGACACGGCAGGACCAGCCCCTGTGGCAGAGCTGCCACCCGGGCCTGCAGGCTCGGCGGCATTCGTGCGGGAGGGTGGTAGGGGTAACGTATGGGAGCCAGGCCATCAGGGCTGCGGGGGCTGCTGGTTCTGCCACCGCCTGGCACTGGCGTCTGAGGAGACCCAAGGCTGCGGCTGCAGCGTTAAGGGGAAAAAAGGGGCACCCACTCGCCCTGCGTGGGCTTGGTCTCCTCTGGGGTGATCCCACCCGATGCACGGACACCGCTCTGGCCTCTCTCCTGCCCGAGCGCTGACTCGCACCCTCCCAGCAAGCTCAGCAGCCACTGGCCAAGGAAGGTGCGCGTGCTTGCGGCAGCTCGGAAAGGCTGGCTTGGGCTATCGCTGTTAAATGGTGGATTTAGCAGAAGCAGCCAAGCCCAGCTGCCACTGCAGAGCGCGGTGGGGATTCATGGCTCTGCGACCACTCCTGCCTTGCTCAGACAGCCGAGGAGGCGCCTTGCTACCAGGAGAGGAGAGAGTCCGAGCTCCTGCGTGGCCATGAGCAGCCCCAGGCCCCCCTGCCCCAACGACAACACCCGAAGGCAGGCCACCATGCGGCACAGCCGTGCCCAGCGCCAGGGCTGAGCTCTCGGCACCACCCGCACGGTGCATCCCTACCTGAGCTGCATGTGCAGGCAGCAGGGGAAATGGGCCGAGGCGGGCTCAGCTCCAGGGCCGACGCAGGCTGCCGATCGAGGGAGGGAAGCGCTAAGGCAGGAGTCACACACGGCCCTGGACGGCAGCTCAAAGCTGCCCAGGTCGCGCTGTGCGTCTGTCGCCTTCGGTGTGGAGGGGGAAGTGAAACCTAAACCACAGAGGGGCCAAAACCCACAAACCGCGAGCGCGCAGGGCTGGTGTGGCTGCGCCGCTGAAGCTCCTCCACAGAGCGCAGCAGCCAGAGGGTCATCAGTGGCCCCAGGGCTCCCCGGCTGGGCCTGGCCAGCGCTCGGTGCAGGCTGAGCACGAAAATTC